CAATTCCCATGTTTCCTCTGCCCCTTGCCCCTCAATTACTCGGCGTTTTTACAACTCTATTTTCCTTCAATAATTCAATTATCCTTCTAAAAAATCCACATAGACCCAAATGAACTAATATGCTGATTTACTTTTTCACATGAGAACGTTGAAATTTGAGCTTCATAACTGAAAAGGAAATTCTTTTTTTCTTGTTGAAACAAAATAAAAACACTCTTTCTACAACATAAAAAGAAAGTACTAATTTTGTTGAAATGAAAGAAATATTTTTTCTACATCATAAAAAGAAAGTACTTTTTGTTGAAGTGAAAGAAAATACTTTTTCTATATCATAAAAAGATTACTTTTTTTTGTTGTAATAAAAGAAAATACTTTTTCTATATTATGAAAAGAAAATATTCATTTTGTTAAAATGAAAAAAAAAATACTCTATCCACAACATGAGAAGAAATACTTTTAATAACACTACCGGGATACGCGTGTACTCTATATCAATAAGTATAAAATTTTAAAAACCATATAAATACTATTAAACTATGTAATTGAGTTATATAATAAAATTTTAAAAAGCATAAACTCTTGAAAATTAGGGATATAAATTTTATTTAGCTAACTTAACAGAGAAAAAACTATGTCAAGCAAAAGTATTTTAACACCTTGTCGTAACTTCAACACTTTTAAAGCTTATCATTGTTTTATTATAAACATCCAGTAATTTTTAACTGATGAAATTATTTTTCAAAATCCTTGAATTAATAAAAAGGAAATAATAAAAACATAACGTATATATCTTAATTTTACAAATTAGTTTTTATCTTTCGATGAAGGTTTGTCATATTTGAATTTGGTTACAACTCAAAATTTAAGATATTCTATTCCAATGCAAAATTCAGTGTTATATTACTTGTTATTTTGAACTATTTATATGTTTGAGCTGGAAATAAAATTCATTTTTAATTAACTAAGAGGATAAGAAGTTTCAAAAAAGTAAAAGTGGTAAATTATGAATTTAAAATCCTAAATATTATTTCATTTACAAGTTTTAATTATTGGCAATATTAAATTCAAATTCTTTTTCTTGCTTTTGTTTTACTTTTTAGAATTTTCGAAGGATATTTAACGATGGTAGTGTAGCTTTGCTTTGGATGGTAAAATTGGTTTTGATTTAATTAATATGTTACATGTCAGTTAAAGTCCAAATATTAAGACTTTTATATAGTTCAAATAAGAAAAGATATAATAAGTAAAATTTTAATTGATTTAAAAGTAAAAAAAATTAGAGAAATAAAATGACTATTTTGTCTAATGTGAAATTAATTTTTAGAGGGTAAAAAATGCGAACGATATTTCAATAGGTGTTTTATGCNGGGGTGGGGGTAGATGTGTGGGGGAGGATCAGTGGGGGTTGATAGGGATGAAAAATAAGATGGATAAAATTAAAAAAGAGTCTTGAAAAATATTTTCTCTTCTCTTAGTAAGGAAAATATTTTCCTCTTACGGAAAATGTTTTCCCTCGTGCAAAAACACACCCTTAGTTCCTATCATTTTCACCATAGAGAAATGCGTGCAAAAATATCACTAAAAGACCTCCTTGAAAGGGACATAAAGTTTGGTAATTAATCAATTTAATACGCACATATGAAGCAAAATTAAAAACAACAAAGAGCTTAGTGATTCGTTGGTGTCACTGTTCAACTAATTTTACATACTTGTTTGCCATAAATTCTTGAAAATTTCACATTATTATTCGGGATGCAGATAAGCAGAATCTAGAAAGGAAAAAATAACAAAAACGAAGGAACAATCATCCGGTCATAAAGCATAGCTACCGTGAACAAAATAAAGTGGTATCTAGTTAACTTTAAAAAAAAAACGGATAAGAAATAATCCCTTGGTCATAGTTGAATCCAAACATCCGTTCATTATTTCTTTGAGCCTTAAAATGTAATATTTTTTAAAATCATTACCAAAAAGGAAAGTAACAATTAGTTTTGCTTTTTTGACAATTAATTTGAGAGGAATGAATAAGCTATGAAATATCCTAATGCTACACTTTTGTTGGGCAAAATCCAAAAATTGGCCTTTTGACGAAACTAATTGCATTCGCTAGCCGAAAAGTATATAAATTATGTATATTTTTTGTATATCGTACACACACACATACATAATATATATTTTGTCGGCTATTATTTTTTAGAGCGGGTAAAAATATATATTTCTCTTTTTGTACGTTTTTAATATAATATGGGCTTCTAGCCTATCTGATCTTTACACAAATAGCTAACTGAGTTCTATGTGTGTACATAAATTATATATCCGTCCACTATTTTTTAGTTTATGCAATTGGATAGGTGGCTATTAGGTTAATTCTTCTTAGGAGTTCGACGGGGAGAAATTCAAAAATAGCCAGATTTATAAGTGGTCATTCAAAAATAGCCACAATTTTAAAAGTAATCGAAATTTAGCCACTTTTCATGTAAAGATAAATCTGAACGAAAATAATGTTCAAAATCCAGAAAATACTCCAGCATAATATACTGGAGTTCTGGTATTAATATAATACCGGTCCAGCATAATATGTTAGAAGTTCATATACAGGTGCTCCAATCTCCAATATATTATGCTGGAACTTTCCGCGTATTGGAGCTCCAGCATAATATGCTGGAAGTTCATACATAGGTGCACCGATCCCCAGTATATTATGCTGGAACTTTCCGTATTGCAGCAAAGTAGTGGCTATTTTTCAATGACTTTGCAAATGCTGGCTATTTTTGAATGACCAGTTTGAAAACTGGCTCGCCCGTACTATTTTTTCGATTACAGTTCTTCTCGGGCCTAAGATATTGGTTCAAAATTGAAGAATTAACTTAAATACCCGCCCACCTAATGCTTAATTTAAAAATAGCCGATGGAGCTATAATATATGCATAATTTATATATTACTCTCCCGGTCCACAATAAGTGACCAATTTACTTTTGGCACGCTCATTAAGAAAATACTAAATTATATACAAAAATACCTAGTATGACTACATTACTCTTAATTAAATATTTAATGTGAGGTGTAAGAAAACTTTTTAGGGATAAATACATAAGGGTAATTTTGTAAAAACAAATTAAATTCTTTCTTTATTATATAAATGGACACTTATTTTGAACCAAAACAAAAAAGCAAATTGATCACTTTTTGTGGACCGGAGGGAGTACATATGTATAATTGTGTATATTCAATGTGTAAACTATGTATATGGCTGAAAAAAGTAAACAATAAATATGACTGGACAAGGCTTCATATTACAGGGTGGTAATATGGGCAAGACAAATTACAAAAAATATACAAATTTTATACACTTTTGGTGACGGGCTAGCTGCCTAATATAAATAGTTTTGGCAACGGGCTAAATCGATCTTTGCCCTTTTGCACTCCATCTACAGAGAAATTCCTTATTTTGCTATTCAGCAATCATCTCTGGAAGGAGATTTTAGACATTAGCTTTTTAGTCTGGATATCTGTTGAAAACAAAAAAAGAGAATGTACTTTTTTGTGGCTCCCTATTCCTATTTTTCTGTACTGTCAAAAAACAAGAAAACTAGAAAACAAAGAAATCGAAATGAACAGTTAAGCTCTTTCAGTTTCTATGCGCTAATGGGAGGTGACGGATATCTAGTGGGATATCTAGTAGAATAGTCGATGTGTGCACAAGTTGGCCCAAACACTATCGTTTAAATAAAAAAAATGCACTTTGAACCATTTAACTTACAAACATAGTTTCCATATGTCTAATATATACATGGACTGAGGGTTTACACAGTGCACTGTGTTTCCCATGACATTTGAATGAGTGAGGGCCTTTCTACCTCTTTCTCAAATTCCATGCAAAACAGGGAAGATTATCTGAAAGTACATATGAGGGTGAAAAAAACACACCCAAAAAACTTAATTTTCCTTTAAGCTGTGACTAAACTATGCAACAAAATGATTACCAATTCTAGCTAAGCTGCTAAGGTGTCTTTATGTTGTCTTCAGAAACTGAATTTCTTAGCTTAAGCTGTTTAAGATCATGCAAGCATTTTGTCGAGTTGTACTCGGCTGCATCCATGAGTTCTTCTGAATATGTCCTTCGCAAGCATTTCTTATTGTAGCCGCCATCAGTTCTCAGCAGGACCATAACCTGCAATAAGTAAAGGATCATTGTTACTGATCTGGACAAGTTTCCTCTTGGTTAATGCAAGGACGATTAATCGCACAGAAGTACTAGCTGCTCCAACAATTTCAGCCTTGTGTTCTTCTTGAAAAGATGAATCAAAGTTAGGTGAAATGAGAAAGAACACCAAAGATAAAACACTGAAAGAGGTGCCGTGATGCTGGATAGGTAATGAGATAGATTTTTTTAAAGAATTCTAAAAAACGAACGCATATATATTCAATTGAGATGTTGGTGGAGGTGAGCGATGTAAGGATGCCTTTTGATCTGAAAGCTATGTAGGTCTCTACCAAGATCATAAAGACTCCCGCTACCATCTAAAAGAAAAGTAAAAATAGAAAAAGAAAGACAATATGTCTACTGAAATTAGTAATTAACATAACAGAGAACTTCTTACAAGTGATTGCAATCAAGAAAATTTCTCTTTTCATTCTTGAGAATTAGTTTCCTAATTTCCTATGCCTACAAGCAGATGTGCAGCCCTCTATATGTCAGCAGGTTACTTATTTTCACCTAAGATGCACACTACAGCATTTTCTTTTCTGTTACTATATAAAATGCATACAACAACATGCACTTGATATATTGAAATATTCTCTTCTTATCTCTTGTTTTATGGGTTAGATAATTAAATGCATTACGTAGCTTTACCCTCCTTATGGCTCTACAAATGCAAATTGTAACCTCTATTTTTACCTCTAAAGAATAATTCATCCTTTCAAATATCAAGAAGAAAGGATAGACGATTGAATGCTTTTTCTTACTAGACGATTGAATATCAGTTTTTGTATTTCTACATTTTGTGCCCCAAGAGGAAGTTTTATGCCTTGAGAATTAATCTAGTAAACTTATCAAAAGTTAGCGAGTCCCTAGTCCCGTGGAAAAAGATAGAAGAATACAATAGCAGAAGGACAGGCACCTCTATAATACAAAAATGGCTTGAATTGCAGAACAACAGGAAATCAGCGTGATAGAAAATAACTACTTGCCTGATTCATTCGAGGCCGCATAAGTGGGTTCTGTTCTACACATAAGCCAGCTGTTAGAATCACATGCTGCATCTCTTCTGGATTGAACTTATCACCAAGAACAGGATCAATTAGTCCTTTCACGTCATGCTTATCGAGCAGAGGCTTTGCCTACAGTTGAATACATGTATGCTCGTATGGTAAGGATGTATTCTTGAACTAGATAATAAAGAATATGATTTTAAGACTTGACACGAGAAAGTACCCAAAGCACAAGGCTCTGCTGTGAATCATCTAATGCTTGTCTTCCAGTTATTATCTCCAATAGCAGCACACCAAAAGAAAATACATCGGTTTTCTCATCCACAATGCCATGCATAAAATACTCGGGAGCAAAATAACTGACAATATCAAGAAGAATGCATTAGATCTCCTTGCAAAGTAGATGAAGATATAGAGACATTTTCAAAGCTTTCAATTCAGATTTCAGTGACCGACAGACCCAAATGTGCCTTCAAACTTGCCCACATTATGATGTGTCCACTCTTTGGGAAGCCACTTTGCGAGGCCAAAGTCACAGATCTGCATCCACAATTTGCTGATCATCGTTAGTATATGTCCACATGCTTAGAATAGGCAATAATCAAGGGTAAATTGCAGCAAACAACTTACACTCAAGTCATAGTGTCTACTACATTGCATGGAACTCAAAGAATACTTTAACCGACTAAAATGAGAAGTAGAACCTCTTTGCCAGTAATTTCTCTTGATCATGACTATTGGACCATTCAAACTTAACCCGCCAGTGCAATTGAGTTATCAGACTGGTTTATGCGTGAACTGTGCTTAATATATAAAACTAAATACAGAAGATGGAAGTGTGACTTCTCTTTCTAATCCTGGGACAAATGAAATTTTTATCTATCAGGTTTCTCCAGCATACATTCTGAAATATAAAGATCGTCCATGTCCTGCACATTCTCATGTAAATTCCTTCATGCATTATTACGTTAGGTAGTGTAAAGTATAATATGTTTCTAATACATCTTCGTCATGTCATATAGTCATATACACAGTTTTCCAGGAATAGGATGCCATACAGTACCACAACTTTGATCAGATATCTCGGAACACAAAATGGTATGATACAAATATGAATATTATATCATCCTAACAGTAATGAAGATCTGTGTTCTTAGAAAAGTGGATAAACACTAGATTCACAAAGGATGTCGCAAACCACTAACAAACACTATAAAAATTCCACGTTTAGAAATGCCAAGCTAGAAAATGGGACTGTATCATGGAGGACAACTTAACCAAACTAAAAACGATCGTTTCGGACGGTTTATTAACTTACACCTGTAAATTAATTAATAAATTTCTATAATCATCATTCATTCAAGAAACAAAGATTCATGCATTAAAATGATTATGTCAAGGAAAAGTACCTCTGCACCTACACTAGATGGAAAGCTACTACATTGTAAAAAAGATCTCGGAAAATTTGATGACATGAAATCTTTTCAAATTTTCATCAGCGAAGCACTTCCATCCATGAATATCCTCTTAGCTGCTAAGCATAAAAGAAAGGCTCATGTTCTTCAATATCTTGTCTTTTTAAAAAACAGAATGGAGAATGCGGAATTCTGATCATCAGTACATGTCTATGATTCGCACTCTTATAGTCCAATGAGTAACATTTGATTACCAGGACAACCTGGGGCTCTACTTCATGGAAAACAAACACATGTTTAACTTTACTATTATCTTGGAGCCAAAACATCATATGATATACTATACATGAAATGTTAAACTACCAGTGACTTGACTTCCTTCCATTGTCTAGCGTATACGAAAGGAAATTCGATAATCATCCATACCACTCACTAATTTTCTTCTCATGTAAATAATAGAAATTCCATTTAGTTTTGAACTGCTTTCTGGTGGAGGTACATCTCAAGTACTTTACATTACATGACAAGTGCATTACCTTATTTTAACTACATACATGAAAAAACCTCTCAATTAGGAAAAATTGTCTTAAAATATATATATATATATAAATAATTCAAATCACAAACAATGAATAAACTAATTTCAAAGATCTCTCACATGTGTGCATCTGGAATAAAGGATATTTTCATGTCTGTTATTAGTCAAATGAATGACCTTAATAGACAAACACTCTTACACTCAGAAGGCACTGACTTACAGAATGACAATCATCATCAAACTTTGTTTTTAACTTTTTATTTCTTAGAAATATTTTTAGATAGGCTACCTATTATACACAGACACACACATCGGTTTCTAGAGGCTATCATTGTGTCAAGGAGTTCAAGTGTGACTGCGAAACTAGTAAATGCTGACAACCAAAATTTTCACAAACACTGAATATCATCACAGCAGCTTAAGCCCTGAAATTTAGTGTGGCACAATAGGTATTTCGCATCCCTTAAACAGCGGTTCGGGGCAAACGGCCAGGTCTTAAGGCATGCACGTCAACACCCATAGGTCCTGTCCATGGCACTATACAAAATGAAGCTGGCAAACCGATATAATAGTTGTTGAAACGACCATTATGCATTATATCTTGGCGATCAAGAAGAGAAACTTTGAAATTTAGTAATTAAAAGTTTAGAACTAGTCATTAAATTTGAAGTATAAACTTACAACTGTATCTTTGCATCGAAAGAAATTTAAACTGACTTTTGGACTTGGTTGACATGATTTTACTTTTTATATTTTGCTTGATTGCAGTTTTCTACAATTCATTTACTCATATTATTTGTTATCTTTATAGATATTTTTTCTTAGATTACATAAATACTCCCCCCCCCCTCTTCATATTCGCCTTACTTCAGTAAAGCTTGTGTTACAATTGTGCATTAAACTTATAGCCCCTGAAGACCTTTGGGCGTGTATCTACACGTCTCACTTTTGACATCACTGCAAAAACAACAGAATTTTGCTTTAGCTTGTAAATAAGCCTTATCAACAAAACAACCAAATTGGGCAGCACTAGTTTTGAAACTATGTTCTAAAACCTAGCCAGAACAGCCATCTAACTCTATGCTTTAATTACTAACGAAATCTTTTTTATTAAAGCTAGTCTTTCATTCAAAAGGATGCTTTTGAAACATGTGTTTTGAACGCTATACACAATGCATCTCACACGAATGTGTACCCATACCTTTTTTAACTCTTGCTATCTTTGGCCTATATTTCCATTTTCCCACTAATACATACCTCTCTTATATAAAAAGCATGTATTTCATGCTTTTGAAACACGTGTTTTGTACCGATATATCTTACATGAGTTTGTATCCATCCATTTAATTACTCTTGGCAGGGTGTACCTACCTTAGTCCGATAGGGCTTGGTCGAAAAGTTTTACTAAATAATATCTATATATGCAATAAAATAGAAAACAGTTAAATAAAAAGAAATTGACATCGCTTGACAATTAGTGCGGCTTAGCGCAGTGGTTGAGTGCATTAAATCCATAATGCAGGTAGCGAGATCGAGCCGCGCTACCCTCTTAATTTCTGGAACTTTAAATTTATCATTTAGAAAAGATACGAGTCCGAAGGAATCAAACCCTTGACCTTTTTTAGAAAAAGTATCAACTAAACCTTTAAGCCAATTGCAAAGGTGCCATATGCTCACAAAAAATGTCTAAGATAAGTGTATTGTAGGTTATTATGAATACATTCTAAAAAAGGAGAATTTGTTGAGGTGAGTTGTAGTAACATAGTTTGAATTATGTTTTATTAATATAATTTGAACTATGTTTTTTAAATATGATATTGTTTCAATTATTTGTTCATTTGCTCAATTCTTCAAAATATTGACACTGCTTATAAAAAGTTCATGTGTGCGCCCCTGACTCTTGCTATATTTCTTCTTCTTTGTTTCCCTTTTCCCGCTAATATACAACCTCTCTCGGCCACCTCTCATGCTAATCTCTATTAAAAGAATCTCTTTTATGAAAACTATTTTTCGTTCAAAAGGATGCTTTCGAAGCACGTGATTTGAACGTTATACACAATGTGTCTCACATAAGTTTGTGCTCATATATTTTTAGTTCCTTGCTATCTTTGTACTTTTCTATTTCCCTTTCCCACGAATGCACTACCTCTCTTTGTCCCGTCTTGTGTGTTTTGAATGTTAACCCATTTTTAACTCTTGCTATCTTTGTTTTTATCGATTCCCCTGTCCCCACTCATGCACTACCTCTCTATCTGTCCTGCTAATCTCTACCAAAGGAATCTCTTTTATGAAAGTGTGTCTTTTATTCAAATTTATTCACAATAATGCTTTTGAAATATGTGTTTTGAACGTTATACATGTGAGATATCACATGAGTTCGTCTTTTCTCAAACAGTAATAATTAGATTCATAAACGACATAAAAGTAGTGCTGGAATATTATCTACACTTTAGAACGTTATACATGTGAGAGATATCATATGAATTTGTTTTTTTCTCCTTAACCGGTAATAATTATATTCATAAAGGGTAGATTACACATATGAGATATCACATGAATTTGTTTCTTTCTTAACCGGTAATGTCATAAAAGATTGATAATACATGTGAGATATCATTTGAACGTTATACATGTGAGGTATCACATGAACGTTATACACGTGAGGTCACATGAACGTTATACACGTGAGGTATCATTTGAACGTTATACATGTGAGTATCACATGAACGTTATACATGTGATATCACATAAACGTTATACATGTGAGCAAAAATCCAAAAGTGTAGCCCTCGTCTAAACTTAGAGGGACTCTATAAATTCAAGTAATGTTTCTACCTCATTTGCATATTCCACAGGAGAATTGACATAACAAGATACAATCTTAATCCTCTTGACTGACTTTTGCTTGTCTTCAAAACATCTTGAGTTCTTTTCTTACTTTCTTCCAACTCTTGCCTCAAAAACTTCCATGTATTCCCAGACATTGAGCATTCAAAGTTGAAAAGTAACTGCCATAGCATCTGCGGCATAAGGGTAACCCTCTTTTCTGAAGGTTATCAGTAGTGAGGCAAGCCTCCATTGCCACAATACGAGATCTACAGAAGGTGAGCAACCTTGAAACTTTTTCCATAACTAATAAAACGCCACACATTCTCTAGTATTCCGAATCATATTTCTTCTTAAGTATCCAGCTCTGTTATCTATAGAGCCTCTTTTATGAAAGCGTGTCCTTCTTCGAGAAAATAGTTTTGAAACGCGTGTTTGAACGTCAGCAGTACATAAGATATATCAGACATAAAATGTACTCATCCATTTTCTACCTCATTCTCTCTTTGCTCCTCTTTATATCCCGTTCCTCACTACTACACCACTTATTGTGACAATAAACAGGCCTGCCACTAAATTTCACTTATTGCCATCTTTGCACCTCTCTATATCCCTTTCCCCATCCTGATACTAGCTTTCTCAGAAGAAGTTATCATCAAAGCCCACCACCAATAAATCACTAACCAAATCCACCACAAACCAACAATCACATCCAACCCTTTGTGAGCCAAGGTCTCCTAACCGACAAAGTTAAGAAATTTACTGTGTAGCACTTAATTGTCAGTCTTAAGTTAAGTGCTTTTGACCATACACAAGCAGAGAATATATTCTTCCAAGAGGAGTTATTGGAGCATGCATAAGAAGCTGAGTAATGACTCTAATTCACCTAAAGCTAACCCTCTGATTCTCAAATCTGCTTGTCGAATTCACTATTACCTATCCCTGGCATAAGTTCTTCAAAATGTTGAAGCGGTTCCATCAAGAGACTAGCTTCCTTCCCACTTTTAGCTGTTCCCAGGATATCAAGAAGGGAAAGCAGAAGTGTGAGGGAAAATGTACCAATAGGTTTCTATCCATTCAAATAATTGTGGAAGAACTTCACCTAACTGACCTGAAGAATGCTACCAGTAATTTTAGCGAAGGTACGTAATCTATTTTAACATCTCTCTTCACAGCATTCAGGCTAATATGAAAAAACATATATATGTAGAGCAACTATGGAAACTACTTGTGCAACACAGATGATCTCAGCATTTATGTTGGATATAATCTTTTCTTCCCTTAATTGTCAATCTTAAATGCAAGTATAGTACCTGAGGCACAAAATCCTCCGTAAGTAGAATATTATCAGCTTTAATATCTCTGTGTATAATCCGCCTTTGGCAATTCTCGTGAAGGTAAAGTAGGCCATTTGCTATACCAAAAATTATTTTGTACCTAGCAGCCCAATCTAGTTTATCCCTTGAGCCTGAAAAGACAAAAACAGGCAAGTACCTTGTGTTAAAGCAGAAAAGGAAAGTTCATCCATTACAAGAAGAGAAATTTTGTCTTGTAATGAGAACTTTTGAGACAGACCGCGAAGAAACGATCCTAAGCTCCCTTGAGAAGATAACTCAAGAACAAGGTATGTCCCTCCTTCCACTCCATAACCAACCATCTTTGCGGTATTAGGATGGTCTACATGTGCTATAGTACCAATCTCACATAGGAAGCTTGTTTCCTGCTCCTCTGCTGTACCTTTATTGAGGCGCTTAACCGCGACAAGCTGACCATCAGGCAAACAACCCTTATAAACTTCAGCATACCCTCCTTTGCCAATCAAGTTTTCTGTCAAACAAGGAGATCAACTCTAGGATACACATTTATGCTCAAGAAAGAGTATTAAATATAATCATAGAAATGTATTAGCCTGAATGCAAAATAAGAGAGAGATGTTAAACCAAATTACAAACCTTCGCTGAAATTATTGGTAGCATTGTTCAGGTCAGATAGGCTGAAGTTCTTCCAGGAGGATTTGAAGTGACAGAAACCTGTTGCTACATTCTCCCTCACACTTCTGCTTTTCCTTCTCGATATCCTCGGAACGGCTAAAGGTGGAAAGGTAGGTAGTCTCTTGATGGAGCTCCTCTTCCACATTTTGAAGAACTTGTGCCATCGAGAGGGCATCCGTGGATTTGACAAGCAGAAGTGAGACCCTGAGGGTTTAGCTTTAGGAGAATCGGAGTCATTCTCCTGGTTTCTGATGCACGCTTCAATAATTCCTCTAGGAGAAGAATCATTATGTTTCTCATTTTCCATCTCAAACAACGTGAAGTCTACAACGAGTATTTTCCAGAAGATAATCCATCAGAATCAGAAGAAAAAAGGAACAAGTCATACACAACTTCTTTGGAATACAGCTTATGTCACCTTGAACAGAAACTGAGGAAGAGAGATTCTTCTGTGCAGAAACTACAGCTTTGTTTTCTGAGGTATGTACTGCATCCATAATGATTCTCTTAGCAGTTTTAAATTATCCAAATCATATCAAATCACAAAGTAACAGAATAAGATTTTGAAATCTTTCCTCTTATGCTTTCCTTGGTCTTGCATCAAGGAAAATATAACTAATCCCAAAACCAAGAATTCAAATGGATTGCAGGTGGTTAATGCTTGAGGCAAGAAGTTCGGATTTAAAGCAAATACTAACGGAAGGCAACAAGCGACCGGCTGACTAGCTGACTAGCAAAACATGGGAGTAATTTAGAAGTTTGTGAAAGCTTAATGTTCTATGATGTACCCTTTTTCTTGCTTTATCATCTAATTATGAAAATGATTGCCTAGGTATTATGTGTCCTAGACAAATCAAGCTATGTACTGCAGTAAACTTTAGCAGTAATAATATTAGTTTCTTGTTTACCAAAAAAGAACCTTCAAAAATTCCTGATTTCACATAAACAAACACAAGGAAATTAAAATTTGTACTCCAATAAGCAATGCTGAATAGATTAATGAAACTTACTGATTATAAGCACCGCACAAGATGTTCTCTAAATTACAACCATGCCCTGTGTAAAAAATCATATCCAGTCAGCTTATACTCAAAAAATTACAAAAACCAAAAACAACCCCTACCCCCCACACCCGGAAAAGAAC